AGGAGAAGCAGTGTGCACTGTCTCTGCGGCCACCGTGGGGACCGGGACTCAGCCCTCTGCTCGCATCCTTTTGGCCAAAGCAAGACTCATGACGAAGCCTAAAGTCACAGGGCGGGAAAGCAAATCCCCCCACCCCGCCGCCACCACTGCGAGTGGGGAGGACACCCAAGTCCCACGGACAAAGTCGTGGCTGCAGAGAGCGGACAAGCATGCAGTGTGCCCCAGAACCAAGGAGCTTGAACCACGTTTGGAAGGCAGAGTGAGCCGTGGGGCAGATCCCAGGTGCTGGTGGGCTCCCAGGAGGGGTGGCCACAGCCAGAAGAGAGCCGGGAAGGCTTCCTGGAGAAGGCAGCATGAGAGCTGAGCTGGACCCCAAAGGCTGGGTGCACAGAGACCAGGAGGAACAGTCCAGTAGATGCAAAACCTACAACCACAGGTGTGGGCAGAGGGTCAGTACGCAGATGGGGCCAGCAGGGCTGTGGTGGACACAGGCCAGGAAGGGAGGAGCCCAGCTGAGCCGCAGGAACAGCAGAGGAGAGGCCAAGGGTGCCAGGTTGAGACCCAGGTGTCGGGCCACATCCCGGGGAGAGGGAGAGCGAGGAGGTGCCCAGGGCTGGAGACGGGCACATTAGGCTAAGGGCCACGGCCCGGCACAGAGCACGGGGCCTCCCACTGCTCGGGGGGTGACGCAGAGGACAGCCCTCCCAGCGCAGTCTCCCCATCCCAACTCTGCGTCCTCTGCAGTCTCTGGTCTCCTGCACCCCTGCTCGGTGTCTGGGGCACCACCTTCCTGTCCCCAGCCCCCGAGACAGCCAGTGGCTGTCCATTCGTTCACTGTGGGACAGACAGCTCCGCCTCGTCCAAAGTCCCACCGGCACCGGTTCTCTGGCTGGGAGGCGGCGTGAGGCTGGCGTCCTGGGTGGCAGGCAGTGCCCCGGGGGCCACAGCATTTAGCCTCACCCCAAAGCATTTCCCAAACCCTGGCCAGGACGTGTGCTGTGCAGAGGGCCTCCCGGGCCCCTGCCTGGAGGGAGTGGTCACACAGTAGCCAAGCAGCAGGCTTCTGGAACCTTCCAGCCATACAGAGGTGCAGGCAGTATACGATGCACCAGTCTGGAGCACATCCCCGTGGAGGCGTGACCTCACCCGACCCCAGCCCCTTTGCTGTGGGTGGTGGTCAACCTCCCAGCCCCTCCCCCCCGCCGCCAGAGTTTGGGACTGGATTGGGCAGAAGCTGCGGGCTCTGTGTCCTGCACGCATACAGCAGGCTCTGGCAGGCAGGGCCAGTGGGGGATGTAAGAGGGGCTGGAGGCGACAGCAAGACCCCCGCCCCAGGCTGCACCCCAGGCCTGCCTGCCAGCAGCCAGCCCAGCCAGGCTGCACCGCGGAGCTGCACTGCCCAGACTTTCAGGGGAAGAGGCGCTCGTGAATAATTCAGCCTCGTTCGCGGAGACGAAACGCCCTAATAGAACTAATGGGCTCGCTGCCTCCAAAGCCGACCCTTGGGGGACTCGCCTCGTTCACCAATTGCTTCAGAGGCTCCGCAGTGACACCGCCTAATGAAAACGCCACGGCGCCAAGCCTCGGAGCGCCCGATCCCCACCAGCTAGCCGGAGGCCTCCTTAGCGGGCGGCGCCCACGAAGGCAGGTGAGTGCTCCCTCGCGCCCAGGAGCGGCCAGACCACGCAGGCCCCTTCTCAGGAACTGAAAGCGGACCAAGGGGAAGAAAGCAGGGGCGCTCCGGGCTGATCTGAAAGGAGGCCCCCTGCGGTTATTTTTTCAAAGCGGAAACCCTCAGAGCGATCCGGCCAGGGGCAGGTGTGAGATGGCCGCGCCAGCGGTGGGGCGGGAGGGTGGACAGGTTCCGCCGGGCAGCAGGGCAGCACCGCTGCGCTGGTTCTTACACCTGAGCCCGCGAGCCACCCGGACCCGACCCGCGTGCCGGTCCGCTTGCCTGTGTGCTGGGGACGCGCTGGGCCCCCACACGGAGGGTCAGACCCAGGGTGTGCCCGGCCGCTGTTGGGGAGCACGTGCCTGCGGGGCAGGGGGTGCTTGTCTGGGCCTCGGTTTGCTGGGGGGGGGGTGCTGTGCGCTGGGCGCCCTGTGTGCACTGTGTGGCCGTGGCCTGGAACGGTAGCAGCCTCCCCCGCTTCCCGTTTCCGCTTCCAAGAACTGTGGCTGGCCCCGGGGTGTCCGAGCAGTGCCGTCCTCTAACCAGGCCACGCAGGCCTCCTCAGCAGACGTGCACGCGTCTGGTCCACTTCAGTGGCTCAGGGTAAACAGACCCCGAGTCGGAAATCCAGGGAGAGGCCTGGGGGCAGCAACTCCTGCTGACTTAATGAGGTCAGGTCTGGCTTTCCTGCTCCGCGTCGCCATGTTCATCCACCTGGGCTCCCCCGGGGCCCCCAGCCGACTAGAATAGACCGGCAACGGGCAGGCCACAGAAAGAGCTCCCGGCTGCCGGGTAATCGGCAGTGACTACCGCGGAGGGGGCCGAGGGGCGGGAGGGCCGCATCAGAGCTGGGACAGCTCACTCTAGAAAGTCCCTGGGATGCTGTCACTCAGAGGTCAGGGGTCACTGTGCCGGGGAAGCAGGGGGCCGAGGCAGTCCCCCCCCCCCAAACAAAGAGCAGGCCCTCCCCCTCCCTGGCAGGGTCTTGCCTGGAGCCTTGCATCCATGGGTTGGCTCCTGCCAGACCTAACCTCAGAAAAGCCCAGGCTGCAGCCCCAGCCAGCAGGGGGCGGTCTGGCACAACTGGACTTCATCCTCTGTGCCCAGACAGTCCCGGGCAGTGCCAGGGACCACCAGAGCTCCTGGGGCCATTTTTCCTCCCCACGGAGGCTCCCCCAGCTCCTTCCCAGAGCCAGGCCCCCTCAAGGACCACAGTGCCAGGCTGCCACACTCGCCCAGCCCCCGCCTCTCTGCCCACGAGTCCCCTGTCCAGAGCCCGGTCCTGCACCAGGGCTACACTCAGAGCAGAAGGCTGCAGGGCTCCTGGGCCGTGAGATGAGTGGTAAGGAAAGGTCTCCAGCCCTGGGCCACCTCTGAGTCCTGGCCCCTGCTCTCCCCCACCTGTCAGGAGCGTCTGTCCCCCGCGAGAAGGGGCAACTGGTAGCGCCTGTGCTATGTCCTATTGAAAACGTCCTGGCTCACTCGTGGTTCCTGCAGCCTGTGGCACCAGGCCCCTCCCAGAGGTTCCCAAGTGGTGTCACCGAAGCCAGAAGCGCCACCACCACTGCTCCCGGCTGCATTGCTGGCTGGGACCCAGCCCCCCGGCAGCCTGGGGCAGTGGGCTCCGCCCAGCTCACTTCACAGCCATGGACGCTGAGGCTCCGAGGGGCCAGGGTGCCTGCTGGGTCATGCTGTGAGTGGCGACAGCCAGGGCTGCCCCCGGCCAGAACACTGGCGCCGAGCCAGGCTCTCACCCCGCCCCAGGGCCCCGGCTGCATTCCCAGAGCCCAGCCAGAGCCAAGCTGCTCCCTGTGGGTAGCGCCTTGAAAGCTAATGGCTATTGACCGGGGCCCGGCTGGGCCTGGCGAGGAAGGAGCGGTCCCTGCCTTTCGGGAAGAGCCTGCAGCTGCAGCCCGCCCGGTGGCCGCCCCCCGACCCCAGCCCCAGGGAAGGAAGAGTCGACTCCGCACGGCCAGCCCAGGAGCAGCTGCCTGATGCCACCCTGTGTGCCTGGAGCGAGGGCCGTGGCCAGCAGGCGGGGAGGGGGACTGGTGCTGCTGCCCGGGTACTCAGTGGCCCCCTGTCTGAGATGGACCGCACGTCAACCCCAGCCCCTGGGTAGCTCCCGACTGATTCTCCCAGGGCATGGGGCTTTTCACACCACTTCAGCATCCGCAGGGCCCCGTCCTCATACGAGCTCCATGGCAAACTCAAGTCCCGGTGTGGGAGCCACCCCCGGCCCCAACACATCGCAGTCTGCCCCTCCCCTGCCCGGAAATCTCAGTGACAGCCCCCCCCCCCCGCTGGCCCTCCACAGCCCAAAGCCCCTGCTGTGTGCACTGGGGGGCACTGCCACTCAGAGGGAGGGGTCGGCCCATCTGGGAAGGCAAGAGTGACAAACCCAGCACCAGGGGGCGACATCACAGCAGGGATGGGAGTGCCTGGTGGGCTGGGCCGAGGCTCTGATGGGAGCAGTAGGACTGCCGGGGCCGTGCCCTAAGACAAGGCTGTGAGTGGTGGGCACAGCCGCTGTCCCCGGGGAGGTGCTGGCTGCCCAGCCCTGCCCAGCGTGGCCGCTGCTCCACTGCCTGCCCAGGCTCCTCCGTCCCGCCTTGCCCACTGACCTCTCCAGCTGTGCTTGCATAGGTTCAACGACCCTTTCCGGGCCTGTGCTCTGAGCCACGCCCTGTGCTGGGTGGGACGGGACGGACGTGAGTGACAGATCCTGAGACAGGAATGGACAGACGTGCTTGCAGAGAAACCTTGGGGGAAGGAGCGGCTCTGGGCTCGCTCCCCAGGGACACCCGGGCCAAGCCCCTGAAGGACAGCCAGGCTGGCCCTGCATTGCAGAAGGATCCAGCAGCACACAGAGCGCATCGCAGAGTCCTGCCGGCTACAGGGATGGGTGGCCGCTTCCGTCCTGCCGGCTACAGGGATGGGTGGCTGCTTCCGTCGCAAGTCCCCCGATGTTGGACACTTCGGTTGTTTCTGGTTGCCGAGGGCGGGTGCTTGTCAGCTCGGCACGTGCCAGCTTTAACACTTCCCCAGCCCAACTAAACCCAGCTCCCCAGGCCACCCGCACCCCCCCACACTGCTCAGCGTCCCCGTGCGGAACCTCGTGGGCTGTGCCCTCCTGGGTCAGCATGGAGTCCAGAGAGTTCAGTGGGCACAGCGGGCAGAGGGCAGAGGGCGTGCTGTGCGGGTGGTGCCCCCCCTTGATGGGGCTTGTGAACACGCGGCCCCCCTGGGGTGCACTGGCCTCCGGCAGAATGGCGCTGCAATTTGCTTCGACCATGGGTGCGGCTCACGCTGCGTCCCTGGTACAGCCCCTACCTGGCTTGACCCGGGACACCTGAAGAGGGCGCTGTGACACAGCCCTCGGCGTCGGGGCTTGGGCTGTGCATGCTCTGAGGCTTTCCTGCCCGGAATGCGGCTTGGCCTGTGCTTGTCCCGCGGCTCAGCCAGACTCCCCCGCACAGGACCGAGAAACTCACAACAAAGGGTGTTTACGTACAGGGCCCGAGCCCCTCCCCAGGCACCGAGACCCCTCCAGAAGATCCCGCCACAGCCGCCCTCCCCCTGGGGCTGGCCAGCCAGCCTGGGGCAGGGCACTGACGCTCAGCCTTTCCCGCCCGCACGGTGCTGGCTCCCGGGCCAGGCAGCACCATGTTGTCCATGACGTACAGCGAGAGCCTGCGCAGCGTGAGCAGCAGGTGCCACTCGGACTGGGCCCTGCACCCCGTCCGCCAGACGGACACGCTGGAGCTGCAGCGGTTGCGGGAGGTGCGGGCGGCCGCCCAGGCCAGGAACATGGAGAGCTTCCTCCGCATGCACGGCCTCTCCCTGGACAGCTGCACCGCCCAGCGCACGGGCATGAAGTATCGGTAAGGGCTGGGCAGGGCTGGGGCGGGCAGTCCCTGGGTCATCGCAGGAGGCCTGAGAGCAGGGGGTGCAGCCCAGGAAGCCCTGACCACAGTTTTGTTGTCTATTGGAGTAGCCGGTCTGCATTTTTAAATTCCAACCACATTCAAAATGTGGAAAGAGGAAAAGGAGAGTGTCGTAGCCCTGTGTGTCCAGAGGTGGGGTTCGGTCGCCCTCCATGGAAACAGGTCCGCCTGTGGGGAGAACTTTGCAGAAGGGGCCAACATTCTGCTTCACTTGTGTCTTGCAACCTCCCTGGGACAGATCCGCTACTAGGAGTTGATAAAACGTGATTTAGTGAAAATAGGCAGCTCTTCATTGCCAACAACAAATCCACTCTGGCAGCAGAAGTCCAGGTCGTACTCTGGGGGCACGGGAGTTGTCTGTCATAGTGTTGGTAGAGTGTGCTGTCTTTGTGGGAAGTGGTTTTCAGCAAGTGGCCCCTGGATTGGTGACATCGAACTGTAGCTCTCGGAGCAAAGCCGTGCACGGAGTGTCCCCAGTCTCGATGTTCTCAGAGCCTCAACAGGACCTTCTGTTTAGCTCGCCCAGCTCTGGGTTCAGCACCAGGGACAGCGCTCCGGCTGTTCCAGCGTCTCTGAGAGAAAACCTGGGGAAGTGACGCAAGGGCCTGGGAGCAGGCGGCGTTTCTGCTCCTAACCCCTGTGGATCGCCCCCTGCGCCTCTCGGGGACAGGCCCTTGGCAGAGCCCCACCCAGTCCCTTACACCTGCCAGACATGGCAAAGGAAAATACAGGCGGCCCAGCCACATTCTTGTTTCAGACGAACAGCGAAAACTGTTTCAGTATAAACGCGTCCCCTGCAGTATTCATTGTTTATCTGAAGTCCAGGGTTTTTTTTTTTAAAGATTTATTTATTTTGAGAGGCAGAGTTACAGACAGGGAGAGGAAAAGACAGAGAGTTCTTCCATCCACTGGTTCACTCTCCAAGTGACCGCAACAACATTGCTGGGCCAACCTGAAGCCAGGAGCCAAGAGCTTCTTCTGGGTCTCCCACATGGGTGCAGGGGCCCAAGCATTTAGGCCATCTTCCACTGCTTCCCCAGGGAGAGGGCTGGATTGGAAGTGGAGCAGCCAGGACTCAAGCCGGTGCCCATATAGGATGCCCATGCCACAGGCAGAGACTTAACCTTCTTCGCCACAGCACTGGCCCCAAAGTTCAGGTTTAGCTGGGGCTCCTGGGTTCTAGTCGGCAACCCTGACTCTGACTCCGTCTCATCCCTCCCCGGGGACCAGCTGGCTGGAAAGGAGAGTGGACGCCAGGGCTGCTCCCTAATCACTTCCTCCTGTGGACAGTGCGTGTGGTTCTTCAGTCCACTCTTTGAATGTGTGGTCATAGTCCAAAACACTCCTGCCACGAGTCCATTAGATGGCAGAATTTCTGAGTTTGTATTCTGAGTCAGTAAGAAGGACAAAGGGTCAGCAGGTTTGGCCACAAAATAACCCTTAATTCTGATCGAAATTTCTCAAGAGACCTGATGCACTTTATCTGTTTGCTTGTTGTTGGCAAGTCGTTGGTACCTTTCGCTTATTCAGCAAACATCTACTGAGCGTCTGCTAGGCACTGGGCTGCACCCTGGAGGTGCCGCGTGAGCAAGACCTACAAGGTCCCCACCCTGGTGGCAGCTACGTGCTGGTGGGGGAGGCAGAGAGGAAGCAGGCAAGCACACACGGATGGAAGCAGCAGCGGCTGTCCTGAGAGAACTCCACAGGCCAACGGGATGCAGGGTGACTGAGCTGAGCCCTGACCCAGCTGAGAGGGGTCCCTGGGAGAGACTTCCTGGAGGAAGAGGGGATGAGAGGCGGCCCAGGAGCTGGACTGCAGAGACAGAGCGTCCGCAGCGAGGGCCAGACCGTGTCCTCCAGGCACTGGGCAGACCTCGGCTCCCCCAGTGTGGACAGGATTTGGGATGGAGACTGAAGTGGGTTGGGTCATGCCCCCCACAATTTCATACCCACCCGAACCTCCAAACGTGTCTGTGATTGGAGACGGGACCTCTGCCTGTTGATTCTGTTCCGATGAGGCCGCCCCGTGTGCATCAGGGCGTTCAGGGCCTCGTGCCCTCATAAGGTGGCCAGTGGCAGCGGAGGCAGAGGGAAACCACTCGTCAATCAGCTGTCCGTGTCTGTGGACGCCACCAACCGAGGATGGGAAACATCGGGGGTGGGGGGTGGAATTGTGTCTGAAGTGAACAGGTGCAGAGTTTTTTTCCTGGTCATTCTTCCTCTAACTGCACACTGTAAGTATATCCAATAGCACTCGTGTCGTATTCGGTGTTAAGGTCTTCTAGAAGTGGCTTCGCGTACACAGGAGGGTAGTGTTGGTTACACACAAATAGGCCGTTTCGTATCCTGGGGTTTTGGTGTCTTGGAACCAGTCCTCCGGGGGTACCAAGGGATCCCTGACCAATCCCAGGCTCCCCAGGTGCCACCAGAAGCTGAGGAGGGGAGGCAAGACAGGGTCTCTCGCTGGAGTCCTAGGAGGGAGCACAGCTCTGCCGACCACTGGACGTCAGCCTCCTGCTTCCAGAACAGAGAACAGTTCGCCGTCGTCTCTGCCACCCAGGGTGGTCCTAGCACAGGGCGGGAAAAATGTGTCTTGTCTCTGCCCGGTGTCCCAAGGAGAGTGTCCCTGCCACATCTGAGCCACTGCTGGACCAACTGTGGGGCCGAAAGGCCTCAGGAAAACCCACTTCCCCAGGGGTGGAGATGAGGAAGCAGCTCTTGGCCTCGGTGGCCGTGGCCGTGGGCCCGTGCTCTCTCTGGCGAATCCATCTCGCTGTGCCGGAGCAGAGACTCAAGCCAGCAGTTACCAAAGGTCGCGGATGAACGCCGTGCCGCGGTTGAGTCTCCTCCGCCAGGGACTGGGCCGGGACTCGGTGACACTGGTCTTGGCTACTAGCAGGGAAAAGTGGTGCTTCCAGTGAGCACGGCTCTGGGAAGCCATGGCCTGGACGGGGCCTGCAGCTGGCAGGGAAGGGCTTTCTGCTTCACCTCCCTGCTTTCCCCGACGGTCCCCTACTCTGGCCGTTCAAAAAAAATAGAGAAAAAGAAATTGAATTTTAGACCCATGGAGCCCGTGAGTAAGCGTGAGGAGCAGGGGGCGGGGGCTACTCTGGCTCCTTCCCTCTGTAGCGGGGGAAAACCCAGAGGTGGGGCCTTGGACAGGAAGCCCGGAAGCTGTGGCCTGGGCCCACACGGGGCCAGTCAGGCACCAGCCCTGGTTCAGTTGTGTTTCTCCCCTGCTTCCTGTGGGGCAGGGCCTGGGGTGAACCCAGACCCCTCCACAAGGCCCTGTGTGGCCCCTGCCAGCCTCTGATTCCAGCTCGGACCCCGTCCCTCCTGCTCAGCCTTCTTCAGTGTCTCTCGAGGACCCTACATGCTTGGGTCCCTGCCACCCACGTGGGAGGCCAGGATGAAGTTCTTGGTTTCTGGCTTTGGCCTGGCCTCTCTCTCTCCCTCCCTCCCTCCCTCCCTCTCTCCCTCCCTCTCTCTCCTTCCCTCCCTCTTTTGTTGACACTCTGCCTTTCAAATAAATAAAATCAATCTTAAAAGCAAAGCAAAAAACCATCCCAGGTGAGTCCCGCTGGCAGAGAGGTGCCCCGTGACCACCGTGTTCAGAGTGTAGCACAAGGGAGCAGGCACGATGTGGAGATTATACCAAATTCTTTTTCCTAAGCACCCCCAGCCCCGCCCCGCTCCGGAAGGGACTGTAGGTAGCTTCCTTAACGAGCCCATTAGCGTGGAGCTGTTCAAGTCAACGGCAACAGAGATGGGAAGCGGGAAGCGAGGGCAGGTTGGCCAAGCGATGCACCACGTTCCCCCCCGGACCTGCTGCCAGCAAAGAAGGAAGCACAGTGGGTCTGCAGAGTCCAGGGTTCCTGGGGTCACCGCCTGGGCCCTCACAGAACAGTGAACGCGGGACCGCTGCCCCCGGTCACTGCGCATCTGTCCAGCAGTCTTCTATGGGGACAAGGTCAGGGCAAGCTCAGGGACACGGTCCAGTCTCCCCTTGCTCATACATCCCCAGTACGCATCGAGAGGTTGCTGGGCGTGTGACGTCATACAGAACACCGTCCCTGCGGAGAACAGGGCCGAGGGTACTTGGGGGTGGGAGGGAGCTGCTTGTGCTGGGGGGCCGGCTTCACATGGCACCTGCTGTCAGGTGATGGGGAGCCTGAAGTCAGAGAAACAAAAAGCATTCCCACGGGGAACAGTGGGTGTGGAGCCCTGGGTTTTTTTTAATATTTATTTATTTATTAGAAAGGCAGAGTTACAGAGAGAGAGGGAGAGAGAGATCTTCCACCCACAAGTTCACTCCCCAAATGTCCACAATGGCTAGAACTGGGCCAGGCCAAAGGCAGGAGCCAGGAGCTTCTTCCAGGTCTCCCGTGTGGTGCAGGGGCCCAAGCACTTGAGTCATCCTCCACTGCCTTCCCAGGTGCAGTAGCAGGGAGCTGGGTGGGAAGTGGAGCAGCCAGGACTTGAACCGGCGCCTGTATGGGATGCAAGCACTGCAGACAGTGGCTTTACCCACTACGCCGCAGCACTGACCCCCAGCCTGGAGGTTTTGAAGATAGATGACTTTTTTGGTAACAGGTCTATTACATACACACTGCGCAATTCACTCATTGAACGTGTGCGACTCATTGATTTTATTGTACTCATGGAGTTGTGTGAAAATCGCCACCGTCAATTTAGAACGCTGGCATCACTCCCAAAATGAAACCTTATCTGTCTCTCCATAGCCCCCTCCCCATCCATTCCATCTGATCTCTGTGGATTTACCTCCTCTGGGCCTTTCTTGTAAATGGACTTGTATGGTGTGATCTCTCACGGCTGGCTTCTTTCACGGAGCACATGGCTTCGAGGTTCACCCCGGCCTGGCGTGTGTCAGCACGCCATTCCTTAAGGCTGAACAAGGCTGTGTGCTGTGGATATCT